AGTGTTTTTTTTTAAATATCATAGCAAATAAAAATGGTTGTCCTCTACTTTGTCATGCAGAAATAACTGCAAGTCTCCATTTACTTTATACTAGAAGTATGGAAGCTAGCAGTGTGGCAACACTCTTCTTTATGAAAATCATAGAATAACTTAGCTGGAAGGCGCCTATAAATCCATCCCCTGCTCAGTGCAGGAATCGAAATTAAAGTATATCTAACAGATGTTTGTCCACTTGAATGCCTCCAGCACTGGAGCGCTCGCCACCTCCCAAGCTAAGTAGTTCCATTGTCATACTGCTCTAACAGTTAGGAAGTTTTTTTCCTGATATTCAGCCAAAATTCTTTCACAGCTGCAGAGAAGGACCCTTAAGATGTGAGGGAGGAGTTTCAGAACATGAAAAAGGGGTGCAAAGCTTAAGGCAAAGTCAATGACAATTCTCCTCCTCTACTGCTTGTTATACAGTTATATGTTAACTATTTTTATTCCATTTGTTGTGAGCTGCTCAGAGTAGACACTGTCTAGATGGTCAGGTTACAAGTCCAATCAATCAATCAATCAATCAATCAATCAATCAATCAATCAATCAATCAATCAATCAATCAATCAATGTAGTATACTAGTTTCTTGTAGAATGTGAACAAAAAAGCATCTATGTGAGTTCCTCATACATGAGCTGAGATTTTTGTTAACTCAGTGCGATTTATGAAGGAGTGCCAAGGTATTGCCTGCCATGCTACCAGTGTAACAAAATAAGGCCAAGGTCTTTTAACATCTTCTGAGTAGTACCAGCAGAGGATTCTGGAGCTGTACCAGCAGTTTAATCAGCTACAAGTTTTTATGAAATACAAAGACATTTTTTGCATGGTACTAGCGTCAGCTCTGCCAAATACATAGTCCAAGCATCCAAAATCTCTTAATTCCGAAAGAGTCTGAGGAATTTTATTCCCCTGGTCTCATTTTATGTAATTCACAAAAGAGAGAAATCAGTAATACTCGAGTTACAAATTAAGTTTTTAAAAAATATTTCACATAAGTTATGTCTCACGAACATCAATATACTGTAGATGCAATTAATGCACATTTAGTGGCAAAAGAGAAAAAGATCTAATGGTTGTTGTGGGCTCTTTGGGCTCTTTGGCCATGTTCTGAAGGTTGTTCTTCCTAATGTTTCACCAGTCTCTGTGGCCGGCATCTTCAGAGGACAGCACTTCTGTGGCCGGCATCTTCAGAGGACAGAGTGCTG